GCAATCAGATACAATATTAAACAACGTGTAAAACTTTTCTAAATTTCTAACCTGTTTTTTGAAATAAAATTCCCGGGTTGGGAATCTCAGACAGATTTTGAGCGAAGTAAAAGAAACACTTACTCGCGAGTAAAATTAACGTAAAATGATAAAAAAATTTCGCGATTTGAACAAATTGATGCCGAGTTATTTTCATTGCAAAGAAATTTCTGTTCCATATATTATCGCATTATTATTTTTTTTACCAAACGCACTGCGGTGCTCTCGCTCGATTATTTCCAATGCGATATGAATGGGCATCGAGGCGTTTCATAACGAGGTCGCGGGGGAATATCTGCATCGCGATACGCGTTGAGCCGCGTGAAATCTCCGCGGCGCCTGCGGAATTAAACCGACCGCCTACGCCAATGCGCGATTAGAAAGTCGCGATTAATATTATTTCTAGGAAGCAAAAGGAGATTTTTTTGTTTTTGCGTCGAGTTTTATCAAAGTAGTCCGAGAGAGGCTTAAGTGGACGCTCCGGAGAGAAAATGATTTTTGTCTTCCGCGTGTGCGACGTGCTTACGTTTACTGACGGCTCGGTAGTTTCACGTGCGACACGCGCGCGGATCTCCGACAGAGTCGTTGTGTCAATAATGCTAATTGAAAAATATACGATTGGTCGGCGCAACGATCTGTCTGAACGATAGAGAAAAAAAGTGTCAAGTGAAGATTTGTTTTCTTTCGTTTAGCGGCGCGAAGAGAAAACCCTCCGGGTTTATGAGCGAAATATTTGGTTAAGTATACGCAAAACAAGCATAAAATCGAGAGCTGAAATAACACGTTTCGGTTGGGAGAACGCGATGAGCGATCGTTAAAAGTAGATCGATCGTTGTATGTTCAATGAGAAATTAGACACATGTGGTTGCTCCGTCTTGACTTAAAAATTCAAATATTTATGAAAATATTCGTAAACAACACACCGCAAATTTGATAACAATTCAATCGTGTCAATCGAGTCTGAAACAAAATTTGTGTTAAAACACGGTAGAAAATAAAGAATCCACGTGAAAAATCGATTGAATTTTCCGATCGCAAGGTGTTGCAAGATAAAGTCACGGTGAAAAAGGCTCGGCCTTTTGTCGAATCAACAACGGTAAGATCCCGAGAGTGATTCGATTATTAGGAGTGCCTGCTGCAAAACACGTTGCCGCCTTCGTCTCTTTCGTGTGCATTCCATTGGTAGTGCAACCGTGTCTACGCTAGATCGCCTCTCACCGTATTCCACACCATCGACATCATCGACGTTCTCGAACGCCAAATACGAAACGTGTAAAAAATTCTCCGGTCCGAAACGAAAGGAACGCAAATAATTTCCGTGCAAAAGAGTTTGCACGCACTCGGGAGTGTCACTCCCCGTAATCTTCCGCGTAACGATTGTGAACGTTCCGTTGGAACACGCGGAGAAAAAGACAAACCGCAATCGCTCTGTTTGATGAATCACTAGGATTTCTTGCGATTTACGTTTCCATATCGCAACGCGGTAATAAAGCCATCATGTGATGTCATGAGACAAAAAAAATAACAATAGCTTTTCCACGCACTAATTGTTAAAGCCAATTTTTTCAGCTCGCAAAAATGAGCGAAGACTGTGCGCGTTGGACCAAAACTCGTAAAATTATTCGCAAATTTAAATTGCAGCGCGCGCGCGTAGAGAAGATAGTGAAGTTATAAAATTTATCGCATGATTTAACATTGGATAAAAATGTTGAAGGATAAAAAACATAGTTGTAAAAAAATCACATGGCAAATAAGAAGAAAGCGATGCAAATTTATGCGCACGCATACGGAATAAATTGTTCATTAAAAGAGATAATCGAGATCCAACGGAGTTGTTTTTTTTCCGTACGGTTTTGTAAAAAAAAAAAAAAGTATCCGTGGCGCTCAGACAACGAGATTTCCGACGATACGTGATAAAAATGAAGAAATATCTCTTCGCGTAATAAAAGACAAGGAAATTACTTTTGCGTCAACAAAGATCGCGGCTACGCGCGCGCGGCGTTCCCGTTTCTCTTCTCCTCACGCGAAACGACATGTTTATTTGCGAATCAACCGAACGTTTAGTTTTCTAACCGCTGTACGAGCGATCCTCTTGAGAGTGGAATTTGTCGTTTCTCTCAAACGTCAACCTTCATTCCGTTTTCGCACGCGGGTTTGTTCGCGAGTGATATTTGCTTTTTATACGTGCAAGATATCTTTTTTTTTTCTAAATACGAATCTCCGATATATTCTTCGTAAAAGTTTACCACAGAGAAAGAGAAAAAAAAGCGTAACAAAAAAGATCTAAAATAAGAACATACACATCGTATTGAGTGAATGCAACGTGAATAAAACTTGCGTAAGCGAATATTTGCTCCGAAAGAAGGCGATTTTCTTTTAACTGCCGTCTGTAACTTTTCACAACAGATTTGACTTAACGACATATGGATTTGTGCGAATTCGATTTTACGCAAGTCCTGAATTCCGTTTCCCGTTCGCAGAAATCGTATTATTTTCGCGTTACATTATCCCAGTCGCAGAAAAATTGGTAACACTGCCACTTACGTGTATTACGTTTCTCTCTCTCTCTTTCTCTCTCCGTCTCGTATGGTGCAACAAACAAATCGCACCTGTTCGCCCGTCGAAATCCCACGAGATGAATTACGCGCGAATGAGCTCAATGACGCGCTGAAATAGACACCCTCGCCGTGGATGCGATTAGTTGCCTCGCGTTCGCGAGGCAGCTAATTAGAAATGCCTTAAACAATCGGCCAAATTCAAGACAGTTTGTCTAACGACGCGTGTCGAACCCTTTCGACGTTTAACGCAATAAATTCCCGAGTTTTGATTTTTTTCGAAAACAAACAAACAAACAAACAAACGCAAGTAGCGAGCGATAAGCGTTTCGCTCCGGAATGAGAAAAGACGCCAAAAGACGATTTGTTTCTCTTGGAAATTGCTCTTTCTCTCTCACGGACCAAATAATGATCTCATTTGGTAAAATTAGAATGATCGTATGTTACAAATGTTTACTCAATGTCGTCTCAATGTGTTCGCGGATTTAATCCTTGTGTGTTTCTTACGAAACACATCGATGTTCGATCTTCCGTCTGTGACTACTCAAAAAAAAAAAAAAAAAAAAAAAAAGTAAAATCCAAAGATATATTTCCGGTTACGTGTTTCGTGAATAAGTTTCTCAAGTACGAATTGTGCCCGTGAAAAACGTCACGTTGTTGTAACCTTAAAATTCTATGGGAATTTCCTAGGTTTTTTTCGTCGAAATATCGTGCCTGAGAAACGCGCGTTTTGTAACCTTAAAATTTGATAGAAATTTTCTAGTTTTTTTTCACACACACGTACACGTGTTCACAAAATGTTTTGCTGTGTGTGTGTGTGTGTACATGACCATTATATACTCAAAGAGACACGCGAATGTGTTTAAAAACTAGAACATCGCAGTTTCGCAAGCTTTCCATCGCTTTGACGCGACACGTATGCCTAATAATCGATTATCGGAAAATGTTTATTTTAGGAGAGCATCTCTCTCGCAAAGAGGCGACCTCGGCAATCCGACATTTCGTACATGAGAGAACTTAAAACGACATAGACGAGACCGGGGTGGAGCGAACTTGTGAAAAAAATGTTACTTACTATTGAAGATGAGCAGCTTCCGCGTGGAGCCGAGCCGCTTGATGGGCGACTTGACGCTGTCGATCTCTTCCTCGTCCATGATCCCGCGCCGGCGGCGATGCTTGTGCGGACCTTGATTTCCTGGGCTTCTCTCTTTCTCACGACGGGGCGGGGAGGGGGACAAGGGATGGAGCGGGGTTGCGCGGAAAGATGCGGCCACCACGCACTCACACGCACTCACACACGCGAGTGATTACTTGCAACGACCGCGCGCGGTATCAGATGCGCAACAACCGCAACACGCGCGCAAGCCGGTAGCGCGTTTCTGTCGCGCCGCGCGCGAACGATAAACGGAGAGAGCGAAGGTGGACGCGGAACGTGCGCGCGTCGCGCTCGCCGCGGGTTTCAGAGCATTCTCTCGGGAGCACGAGGAGGCCCGTTTGTGTGTTGCCTCCGCCGCCTTGTCCGTCGAAAACCGGTTTACGGGCCCCGGTCGTTATAGGTAGCAGAGGGACGGTACGGTGGAAGTTACTACAGTCGATGCGCTGTGGTTTTTTAATTTATTTTTATTTTTTTTTTTTTTACACACGCCGCGATTCCCCCGAGCGTGCACTTTGCGTTCACTCGTCCCGTCCAACTCGCGCGCGTACTGTGCCGTGTTTGCGCGAGCGTGCGACGACTCGTGGCCGAAGAGCGGCCGACGGATACCGAGGAGAGCCGATCGGCGGCGAATTCGAAACTGTCCGAGCGTGGTCAAAGTGGATTAACGAGCCGATCGGAGCCCCTTGCGCTCACAATCCAATTGATTCGAGAGTTCAAGCGGCCGCGAGCACGCCGCTCATACGACTCCTCGTCGCGTAGTGACTACCGCTAGCTTGTCCACCTCGCTTGTCCTTCGAGACCGCTGTGGCGTGGATATTCTTGGATGAACGTATATACCTATATATTAAATTCAACTTCTCGGGAACCCTTCACGTCGCGCCGCCACCGCGTCATCGCGCGGCCGAATCGCATCTCGCCACTGTTGCCCGGCAACCGTTGGAAGTGGAGTAGCGATGGCGTCGCTGGCGCCATCCGGCGAGAAAGACTAGAACCCATTTAAGAGAAACAAAGAAATAAAAATTCCGATATATAAAATGTACATGAAAATGTGCTGGTACTGTAATTGCATGAAAAAATAATAAAGTAGATAATTGCACCTAAAATTGTTTTTTATTTCTTGCAAAATGATTCCTCACTTGTGTTTAGTAAAACAAATAAATTGACGTAAGTTTTGCAAATATTAAAATATCAATGTTAGTTAAAAATTTTTAATGAAAGAAAATACAACGTTGTATCGTACACGACAGAAATACAAGGCGCGATTGTTAAAATATTAGAAGGATTTGCGAGCCATGCGCAAATGTCACCAGTTTCTATGACTACGATAAGGAAAAACACTGCTATTCTTCACACACACATGTATACAGCGTGATTCTTTTACATTTACCTTAACAATATCATCGAATGAACACACCCCGTTTTTCGACATCTGACGCTCTATACTTAACTTTTTGAAAAAACAAAATGGAATCTGAAAAAAGCGGTTACGGTAAGATCGGAGAACGGCCAGTCACTCGGTGGCGCAGGGAACCGGAAGACACCGCCGGTCCATCAAACAAAGTAGTGGACAGACCTCCGACAGGCTTCGTGAGACCTCAGAGCAAATTCGAGCGGCCGAGATCTCGCCGAGGATACAAGGACGAACAATCGGAACATGTCAACTCCGCTACTTTCCGCTCGGCAACGCCTGGACGTCTCGCCCTGGCGAGGCCACCGTCGGCGTCCCTGTTGTCCAATCGCGCGCCAACTGCAGGGCTCACCAGAATAAACTCCGGACTCACACGTGTCGGAACCGGACTAGCTAAGCAGTTCAATGTGAACGTGCTGGATAGACCGATTACTCAGCATGGTATAGCAGGTGTGCGACCGGGCACCACCAGAGGTTTACCTTTGACAAGGTGATCTTACTACGCTTGTTTTCTTGATCGTTAGTTTTTCTCCTAAAATGTGTTTTATCAACAGGATAGACTTTGAATTTTTCCAATTTCTCAGGCAAATCCAGGACAAAAGGTATTACGAGGGTTTGCTACAGCTGAAGATACGAGAACTGACGCAGGAGATCGCGACGATAATGAAGGACATTGAGGTGCAAAATAAGGAGAAAGCGACTTTTTTGCACTACGACAAGAGAGCCAAGAGTCTGGCCGCGGAGTTGACGACGCTGCAGGCCGAGTTAGCGGATTACAATCTCGTAGTGGAGAAGATGACCATGGATGTTGACAAGGAGGTAATCGAGGAGGAAGCCAAGGAGCTGGCGTTGCTGAACGAGCGCAGGATGGCGGAGGTCGAACGGATGTTCGAGCAACGGAAACAGATGAAACAGAAATTGCTTAAGATGGAAAAGGACATCGAGAATGAGAAGAAGAGAACGGAACACATTATCGAGAGCATGGATCCGCACACGAGGGAGAGGTACGACGAGTTGTTCAGACAGAAAACGGAATTGCAGGCGCAGGTGCAGCAGATGCAGCGCGAATTGGATCAGTTGTCGAAGGAGCAGGCGTATCTGGAGGAACAGATAGCGATGTCGCAGATGAAGCAGGAGGCAGTCAAGCTGCAGGTGAGAATCATCGAGGCGGAGGAAAAGCGGGACAAGCTGCGGGAGGAGGAAAGCAAGAGATTATCGCCGGAAGATGAAAAGGAGCAGCTTCTGCAGAAGATCAAACGTGACAACAGCGACATTGCCGCGACAGAAGCGCAAATAGCCGAGAAAGAGAAAAAGCTGGCGGAACTCGAACAGCAACTGGAACAACTGGAAACCGATATGGAGGACAATCAGTCGGAGAAGCAGGTCAGGTATCAGGAATTGCGTAAACGTGAGGAGATGATGGAAGAGTTCATGGCCACGTACGAGCAGAGCAAGCAAGAGGAAATGGAAAAATTGGAAAAACTCGAACGAGAAATCGTCGACAAACTGGAAGCTGCGGCAAATGCAGTGGAGAACAACGAATACCTGACGAAAGCAGAAGAGACAGCTGTTTTGCGTGACAAGTCACCGTATAGCGATTACGAGGCCACTCATCGCGACGACGACTTCGAAGAGCTGAAAAATGACTACGCGGTCATGCAACAAACGTTCAATAAGCTGAGAATCCTGGAGGAAAAGCTACACCTTGAATCGAAACAGATGAAGGAAAAACTGAAAAAACAACAGAGCGAATTAATCGTTTTGGAGGATTTGGACGGTTTGAAAACGCGAAACGAACTCAAACGAGGTGAACTGATTGCCGAACGCGAGGAATTGGCGTCCGAGGAATCGATTCGCGAGAATGAACTCAAGTCTATGCAAGCGGAATACGACGAACTTAAAGAGAAACTGGAAAAGTACGCGATTTATCCCGAAATTATCAATCTGAATGACAAGTTGGACAGCTTGAAAGAGGAGAATAAAAAAATCGAGGAATTTATAGCTAAAGAGAAAGAACGTGTTGATTATGAGCCGCTCAAAGAAAAAACCTTCAAACTAATTAACGATTATAGCGTAATACTACAAGAAAATTTAAAATCTCTTTATTAAACTAATTTTAGTATACTTTATTTTAATAATAGCAACATCTACTTAAAAAATACAGTAACAATGTTTACCTCTCGAGATGAAGATGTGTGTGTTGTGTGTCGAGACAGAACGATAGAACTTCAATCCTTAGAATTAGATTTTTTAAATAAATAATGATTACACAATTTCTGTTGCAAAATTGTTTTTTTTTAATTTCTATCGTCAGTTTTATCCATTTTATCTTTGGAGTATTATTGATTTACGTGTATGTACACATATATTGCATATATTTTGTTTTATTGACTAAGGTTATCAACATTACTAACATTCACTTTATTGTTATCCTGTTGAAACTCTTGAGGGAGTGAAACTTTATTATATAGCAGAAACTGACTAAAGTTGACTCTGAACTGTTTGCTAGGTTCGATATTTCTCGCACACATTATTTTCCAGAGTTCCAGTGCGTCGTTCACCCTTCCTGTTTTACCTGTGAACACAAATATCAGCACAACATGTTAACATCGATACGACTTGCTCGTTTCACACAGTTTGGATATAGAGATAGTACTTACTATAAAAGGAAAGAATGAGCTCACATATCTCAATGAGATTCAAAATGTGATTGTTTGGAGCCAGTTTAACAATTGTCAAAAGTGCATTCATTTCGTCTTTCCTTTGCGTGTAAGCGAAGTACTGTCTGACAGTCTTCATGTCGAATGGCTGATTAGAATTCTGTAAAAAATAAAAAAAAAAAATCTTACATTCTGAAAACTGTAGAGGAAGTCTTTTATAAAAAAAAATCACATAGTAACATAATTGACGGATTCAAACGAAGTTTGCATCTCTCTTATATTTGTATCTTTTCTATAATAAACAATTATATTACATTGCAAACTTTTATATCTCTTATATATTATTTTAAAAAATTGTATGAGGGAAGTTCTCTTTTTTCTCGAAAAACTTGGATTTCATAAATAATTAAATTAAAAAAATCACATAATTGTATGCCACACACAAATATCAGAACGTTGTACAGTTACCTGTAGTACAGTTTGCAGTTCCTGCGTTTTGTTCAATATCGCTAATGCTATTGCTACGGACATGTTCGCCGAACCGAGTCCTTGAACATTAACTACTGCGTCATATATTGTTTTTACGTGTTTTTTACTCATATTGTCTTTTTGTTTTAACAATTCTGTTAGTATCTCCAACGCTAACGGTGTTTTTTTGTACTCATTATAGCATGTCATAAAGACATTTATAGCATCTGAGAGATCGTTACGTCCCAATGGCAATGCTACCAGCGGCCTCAACATTTCATTAGTAAAATCGCAATGTTTCTTTTCCACAAGCATGGTCAACATATCTTTTGTGTGAAAATGATATTGACTGCACGCCAGTGCATCCAAAAGTTTTTTACAATATTTTGGCGAATTATTTTTAATTACGATATTGTTGGTATCTTTAATCGTTTCATAGGCTGTATTAAAATTGCCCTCCTGTATCAACGCAGTGGCAAATAAGAGAATTTTAGTGTTATCTATAAGGATATCACTAGTCAATAAATCGGACAACGTTGTTTCAGCTTCTTTGAGCTTGTTACATCTTATATACCACTCGAATAAAAGTGTCTTCAGACCGGGCGTCCAATTATACTGACGTTCGTCGAATTCACGTTTGATTTCCTCAAATTTCTTCATATTACGCTCGTAGAGATACGCTTCCATCAACTTACGCAGAATGGTTCTGGTATTGAGTCCGTCGCTATTTAGCTCGATCAAATGATAGTATAGTTCCTTTGTGGTCATGTATTTATGCTGAAGCATGAAGGTAAATGCTGAGCTCTCCATATTGTTGTCCACCATATTATCTATCAGCTTAAGTAGATCTGTTTCTCGCGCAACATCAACATATCTGTTCAACAATATATTTTTGAGAATAGTCGCATCTCGGTTCGATATTTTTGCATTTTGAGATATAAATTCTTTCAAAATACATTCCATATCTTCCACAAAGAACGCCGAATCCTCGTTTTTTAACAGCATTTGCAAGAAGACAGTGATAAATTCTTTACCTTGTGGAGATATCATCAATATTGCTACGCAATTTTTGGTGTCTCTCGTAGCGAAGTAAGCACTCACTAAAGGCTTCATCAGTTCTCTGTAATACAATTTGATTTTAATTTGTTTGCACACTAACAGAGCTTCTTGCATGCGCTTGCGCAACAGTAGGAAGGCCACAAAAGGTATAACTGTGATAGAACCAGGTATATCATATGAATAAAGTCTTTGTAGAGTAATAAATGGATCCGCGGTGTTTACAAACGGATATACATAGTCGCACATCGTGTCGAAGTCTAACTCTACGCCTTCTTCATGCATGCTTTTAACGAGCGCGTATACCTTCGCCTCTCCTTCTTTTTGCGCTATGGTCAGTAAGGGCCAATAATAATGTGGACGTATCTCCATATTTCTATTTCTCATTGTTTGGAATATAGTGAGACACAGATTTATTCTGCCCAACTTCAAACCAATCTCTGCTGCGTTGGTCAACGCATACGGTTCACGTCCAGATTCTACAAAATCATTTGCATATCTTGCGATGTCATCGATTGGAGCACTTGCAATGATTAATTCATTCAAAAAATTACTCACAAAATTGTTTACAGTATCTTTTGTCGCATCGTTCATTGCAATACAATTTATAATAGCATGAGCATCCGCAGCTCGATTGAGTCGTATCAGTTCTACTATTAATTTGGAGATCTCAGACTCTATTTCAGGTAATGAAGCCATTAGATAATTCAGAACTACAGGAATATGTCTATCATTGTCGGACGTACTTAAAATCTTTAATATCCTCAGAAGATTTGCATTGCTCTGCGACTCGTCGTTCAGTATCTTGACTAGTTTTGGAACATCACCAAGTTTTGCATATCCACATGCCAATTCAGTGTGTGCTTTATCTAAGGACAGTTCCATATCTCGCATGAGTGTTATTATATACTCAGCTTCGGCAATTTTACCACTGATAGCATACGTCTGCACTAACTTATTGAATGTCTCCTCATCAAGAGTTATATTTTTCTCTTTTATTATAGACATAATATCTTGCAGATGGTTCATATTGCCTGTTTTGGCAGCTACATTGAGAAGCAAATGATAAGTACATTCATTCGGTTCCACAGTTATGGTATCCAAAAATTTTTTGGGATCTACAAAAGTAGAATTCTCAGCATAAACATCCAGTAAAGTATTGTAATGATCCAGTGTCAATTCCTCATTGTTGTTCTTCGCCAATTGCCAGATCTGTGTGTCAAAATTTAGTCAAATTTAATTAGCTTTAGTATCATAATATTATTATACATTTGCATGCATGTACCTTGGAATCTTATATCAACTCATGATCAACATGTTCAATGAGAGAAGAGAATTGGGATGAACAAAAACTTGTTTGTTTTGTGCATATTCTCTACCAAAAAGTTCTCGCACTTTACAGTCAGCGAGTGTCTCGCGCGTAACGCTATCTCTTTTTCGCCTGTTTTTTTCCTTCGTACCAATTCTCTTCTCCCGTTGAACTCGGTGTATTCAACTCTACTAAGTGACTTATTCTACCTGATCCACCAAATATTGTCTGTCAGTTGGTTTTAGATCGGATAACTGATTGCCGCAAGACCTGAGCAACAAAAGTCCGGCACTGTGCGGTAAGTGATATTTACACTCGTGACATAACCTGATAATTTCCTTCATACTCTCGGCCGACACTCGTCCTTGTTTGATATCGTCGCACAATGACATCACTTTATGATCGATGTCATCTATCGACGATTGCGGAACCGTTGAGCTGAACGTTCTAATACATCTCGTGGTATAAGTTTCGGGTCGTAAATGCGTTTGCACTGAGTTGTAACGCACGTAGCGAGAAACATAACCTTTATGCGGTTGAAGATTGGCCGATTCGCGTAACGACGAATGCATCTGCAAGCGAGCAATACGCGATTTCGCACCGACTCTAAGAAATGCCATGTACTTTCTTAGATGCAACATTTTGTCGGCCTCGATCATTGCGCATTAACGTCAGTAATTGTCGAAAATTAAACCCGAACCGAGAACGGTTTCGAACGGAGAGGTCCGTACATAACCAAAGAATATCAGGGTTACGTTCCAAAATCCTATCTTGATAACCAAAAACTATAGCACGCGTGACGTAAAATATAGCATTTTAGTAACCAAGGTAGGATTTTGGAACGTAATCCAGGAATGTAACGAGTATGCGCAACACATTATCGCTGTATTATCGACTGATGATCAGACACAAAACCTGTTATCAACGTTGCCGTGGAACTTGCCACACGTGACGTCACGCAGTAGAGAGATAGAGAGGTACGACTCGTACCTCTCTATCTCTCTACTGCGTGACGTCACGTGTGGCAAGTTCCACGGCAACGCTGCCTGTTATAAACATTTTCTAATATTTATGTATAATACTTATTGTAATATTTTTAAAATATTTTTTTTTCATATTATAATAATATACAAAGTACCAAGAAAAAATAATTATATTGGTCATACAATGAGTCAGTAATTTAAAGCTGCGTTCCGTTTCACGCATATGCATTTATCTATACTATATGTAACGTGTACTATAGATACATGCGCGCATATGCGTGAAACGGAACGTAGCCTAAGTTCTTTTTGACTACTCAGGTTTTGTTCTTATCAGTCTTAACCTCAACAGTTGTGCGTAAGCTTCGTCTTTTTTGTCTTCTTACACTTTGTCAAAGTTCGCGTATTATCTGTTGGTGAGTTTCTGTTTTATTACGTATGTTTTGCAAGTCTTAACTAAATAAACTGATAATATATGTTGATAAAATGCAAGATTCATGCAAAGCAAAACATTTTTTGTACATAAATTATTGAAACAACACGTTTCAACTTTTTTTTGTACAGTTAACAAGTTTATTTACTTTTTTGTGTTGTGATGCTCTTTTGTGCACAGATTGACTTTTTTTTAAGTGGTTCCTAAATGTAATCTGCAGAAAATATTTCATATTCTTTTATATTTTTAGAAAAGTTAAGTTAGATTAAAGTTAGAAAAGTTCGATTAAAGTTAATGCATAGTGCAACGATATATATATATATAATTGTAATCATCAGTTTTTCATGTGTGTAATTTCTACATCTTCAAGGTAAAATTACAAAAATAGCTTAGAGTTGTGTATACGTCAGCTATAAATTTAAATATAAAAACGTAATTGACTATATAAAAACGTATTGACTCAGGCTCATGTAGAGTAGTTTTGCAATATCAGCTTAAATAGATACGCGTATCTGAGAAATACGTAGTTGAGAGTGTTTGAATGCGTAATTCAGCGAGTCTACTATCTCTTATATAACAAGTGGGGGACGAAGGAACAGACCAACACAGACCGAGACACAGTGAAACCGGCTTCTCATTCTCATAGTGCAGAGTCATTACATCGCACACTTGAAGGCAATTATAAGAATGGTTGAGATAAATCCAGAAACGCTGAAAGTGTTTGGTTTTTGGGGCAGTATTTTGGTCCTGAAACTGATGGCGATGTCATTGTTAACTGGCCGGACACGATTTCGCAAACTAGTACGTATAAAATTCAATACGAATTAAGACAAAGATTTTTTTTTGCGCATTTCTTATATTACTGTTATATTTCTACATTTCTGTGTTAAATAAAATAATTTCTATGGTAAATAAAATATAGTATGAATGTAGATGTTTAGGTCTTGTTTATGCGCGAGCAATAATTAAACTTACGCGGAACCGACAAAGGATTCAAATAGTAGGATTTTAATGCTTCTGTTTATACGCGTTCGGCAATTTTGTATAAACAGAAGCATTCCAATTCTATGCTATAGTTGAACTTTATTAGTTTCGGCATAAGTTAACTGTTATTGCTTGCATAAACAAGGCCTTAAGATTGATATGCACAGAAAGATTTTACTAGAACGTAGTCTATGCCACTTGATCACTTATATAAGCAATCACTAATGTGGGACAGATAATAATAATAATAAACATAAGTCTTCTCTTTCCAGTTAAAGAGATAAGCCTCCTAAATCAGATAAGTCTCCTTATCTTTATATTTTTATTTTAAAATTTTTTAGCTCTTAATTATATTTATAATTTGCACACACCCATATGTGTATATATTTTGAATGTAAGAAATGTGATGTATAGAAAATAACTTCGGTCTCCCATTTGTTTTTATCGTCATATCTCGAAGCCTAACATGAAATATGTATGTTTGACAAAAGAGATATTCGATACAATTATCATTTTATCATATTTTAAGCTTAAGAGAAACTTATGTTTTTTTCGTCTCTTGCTATCAGTTGATTGTTAACTGTAAGAAAATAATTTCGAATTCTAGAAAGAATCAATGCCCACGCGCTCGAAATTACTGGTTCTGTTGTATTTATGTATATACTTATGTGACGCTACTAATATTTAAAAACTCATAAGATCCGTTGAAAATAAATAAAAACCTAATTTGTAATTGTTACAGGTATTTGCTAATCCAGAAGATACTGGGTTTGCTGGAAAAAAAGCCAAAGTAACGTTCGATGATCCAGATGTGGAACGTGTACGAAGAGCCCATTTGAATGATCTCGAAAATATTACACCTTGGTTCATAATCACGTACCTCTGGCTTAGTACCGCACCTGCGCCATGGTTGGCTAAAATTTTGATACGAGTTTTTGTAATTTCGCGAATTGGCCATACCCTTTCCTATGCTGTTATTCCGCAACAACCGGCAAGAGCAATAGCTTTCTTTGTGGGATATGGAATTACGGGTTATCAAGCAGTTGCTACATTGCTGCATTATACATAAAGAGAGAACAGAAATCATTGTACGTAAAAAAACAAAAAGATTTCACTTTATTGTAACACATTCCTTTTTTGACATTGTTTTTTTACTTTTTTAATATTGAGGGAAAATTAAAATGTATGGTGTGTTGTTTTTTTGTATAATAAAAAAGAAAAAATATATTTAAATATAAAAAAATATATTTAACTTTTTTAAGGTCACGTAAAAATAAAGGACAACTTACGTAAACATCTTTCTCTCTCTCATCACGAAAATTAACATTACAATCTGTGCTTTATTTACAAATATAGGGTGTCAACAAAGGCGCAAAATTTAATTTTTCAATAAAACGCATCATTTATACGTGTTTTATTTTAAAAAATTATCTTGATACTACAACTATTCCTGGTGCCGAACAATATTTGCTTGTTTTTTATGTTTGCGTGACCTTGAAGGTGTTTAGATATGTACTTCTATCTTTTTTGTTCGCAGCAATTGCGGCTGTTACTCCCACTCCTAAGTACTTTATGCATTTTGTATGCGGAACGATTCTCATCCTGGGAAACCTAGTGTATAAGGGCATATAGTTCAGCTTTTACCGCGCACGCGTCTCGAACATACATCGAGGGCGCACACGCGAACTTTGTCATATGCGGCATCGCGACGCGGGAACGTCAGACGTCGCGACGCGTCTGTGACGTGCTGGTCGTCGTCGTCGTCGTCGCCGTCGTCGACGACGTTGTCGTACTCGTGTCACGATGTGATTATTCAACGATTGAAACATGCCGCGATTCATCGGGTACTTTTTAAATCTTGCGACGCGATGTGTTTTTGATGCAGAATTGTAGAATAGAAAAGCCAAGAATTACATGGTTTTCTAACGTAACAACGATCGATACCTGAAGCGTGGAGTGATCAAGAGGCGCGATCGTAGGTGAGCGCGCACAAATATTTTCAACTATCTTTTTCAAATAAAGTGAGAAAACATATAGAGAGAAAAAAAAATTACAGATAAAACAAATTCGAGACAATTTTTTGTTTTTGCATTTTTTAATCACGTGATGTATTTGTCTCACACATTGTGTGTTCATTTATCGCACGTTGCACACGCACAGAAGCGTATTGTGTGGAAAAATAAGTAGAGTTCGCGAGGCGTGTCGCGGTGGCTGCAGAAACTCAAGAGAGAAATTTCTTATCTTACATCCACGCGCAATTTTCTCCTTTGTTCCGACGACAAACACGAGATCCCTCAGGTTACACGCGAATGGAATCAAGCGCGGACAGGTTATTCCCTACACCTGCATTTCTGGAAGGATCAAGCCGTTTTCTTTCAACCCGAATAGAAAAGCCAGCTGAGCGATTCTTTCTCACGCGCAACGGTTTGCATAGGATGGCAGCATGTCTTATCGAAGATTGAAATGAGTTTCCAACTTCTTCGCACCCTAGTAATTTCTTAGAACGATCACGACAAAACGTAATAACTTTTTTTTTTTTTTTTAGGTAAAGTTTGCCACTTAGATTAATGGTTTAGCAATGTTATCTGAAGAGGAGCTCAGTTCTCAGAATGCGCACACAATTATTTTAGTTTTTAATTAAAATCAAGATATAGGACTTTATAGCCATACCCTCGATATATGTATATGCAAAATATATATTTTTCGCGTTAAGATTTTTTAAATTTCATTTTAGGGGTTTAATAGGAATAATTCATATATATGTGGTGCAAAGTAACATTTATATAAATTTTAAAATTGTTATTCAATTTTTCTATGTGTAGTAATTTACATGTTTAAAAAAATTATATATATTTCGCATCCAGCGTATGACTGTAAAGTTCTATTTCTTGATTTAATTATAATACTTAATGAAGCCGTATTAGTTTTTAATCAATAAGAAATATATAAAAAATATCTAAAACACAGAAAAAACATTTTCGTTTTCTATTAAACGACAAATAAAAAATACAATAAAGAGGATAAAACTATATATTTTATATAGTTTCCAATACTTTTTACAAACATGATTAAAAATATGTTATTTTTATGTTATAAGTAACGACATATAAGTTTTATTGTGTAAGAAAAGAAAACCATTTTCTGATCTCTCCGCAACATGCTTCACTAGCACTGTACGCCAATGTTTTGCTACTTACTAGAGCTTTTGATGTAATAAAATTTTCTCACACACACACACACGTAGACCGTTACGTGCAGCTATAGCTTTTAGCTATATCTATGTATACATATACATGTAGAAAAATTCTTTGGTAGCTGTGATTAAAATTTCTGGTACATTACAAAATTGAAATATGATTCCGTACACCCATTAATTAACATTCCTACGAAATGCGCGAATATTCATTGTTCTGTCGTAAAAAAATTTATTACTCGGAATATTTACACGCATATTATGTTGCTCATTTATGGTGAAAAATTTATACGTAGACATAATATTATAATTTCAAACAACGAAAATAGACAAAAATAGACAAATCTCTTCATTTGTTTCATCAATACCGTCCGTGGTTACCACATCTAGGACATGCACATTGTGTGCAACCATGCACCAATATGTACGCACATTCAACTTTACCTCAAAGAGAGATTTGCATGTTTTATCAGAGAAATTCTGAATAAAGAGAAAAAAATTGCACAGATCTCGCAGAGTTTTTGATAGAAATTGCAATTAATGCAATGCACATAAAATTATGATATTATTATATAATATATCGTACACAAAAACAATTCTTTTTCAATATCTATAAAAAAAATACATTCTCACGTGTGAATTATCGTGCAAAAAGCAATTAACGTGTGCGATCGCTTGTTTTACCTCAACTACAACTACCGCTCTATTGCTTAGATCGAATGCTTTATCGAACGTAGCAAATATTAATTAATTTGATGATATTGGAGGCGGTTTATGTACATGACTACAAAGCCGATCTGGTATCGACCACGTGCCCAGTCCCTAAAGGCAGTTTAAGCACAAGGGATCGCAAACGCTCAGTCGGTGCATGCCTGCGGCGCGAGAGATGCGCACAGATGCACGCGGTGTGTGCATCTCTGGTTCGGGCGCGGTTATCGATAATCGTGTCAATTTTCCGTGTCGCGTGGTCACGCCTTATACGTGCGTGCCATCCGTAATTGCATTTCTCTGTATCGGCTGTCACGGCGAGCGAGCGAGCGCGCGCCGGTGGCTGCGATTCAATTTGCGTCGGGATTAGTAGCAAGATTCTAATCACGTTCGAGGGTGGAACGCTCCACCTCCATCCCTTTGTGGGAAACGACGGACAGGCTAGTTACACCGATAAATCCGCTTGTTACCGCTCATCGAGGCGGAGATATACTTTATTCTGACCTGTTTTTTTATTTCGCGTCGCTCGACATTTTGCACTCGAAAATGAGAAATTACATATAAATTTTCGCTCCAACGAACGTCAATGACAATCTCTGTTGCGTATTTCGTGCGCGGTCTATAAAAAAAAAAACTCAGCCTTTCTCTAAATCGAAATCCCTCCAGGGGAAAAAAGTACGCGAGAACCACTGCCGCGATGTCTGTGTTTTTTAGTGTCACGGTCGTGAGCGCGACGGGATATGGTTTCGTTGTATGTACAAGCAAGACCTCGCTCGCATTGGGGGCTCCGAGAGAGTTATTCTTCGATATTTATCGCTGTATGAAGAATATATCCGTCGAGAGACTCTTAGCGCCCGACGGATAACCGAAACGACTCGTCGTGACATCACAGGCCGCAAATATGCGCGAGACTTATCCCCCCGACCCTGTTGTGAAAAATTCGTTCGTGTTTGCTTTTATGGTCTGCATGCATCTCGCACACAATCGGGACGCGCGTATGGAAATATCGTACTTGAAAAGACCGATCCTTGAGGGCGAAGGATGATGACAAGAACGGAAAAAAAGACACCGCGGAATCCTCGGCCCTGAAAAAAAGGTCGCGACGGAAAAAAAAGCGAAGGATTCCGTGAAAAACGAATTGCAACGGGGGGGAGAGGAGGGGGAGAGAAACAGAGTATTCATTGTAGCTTGTTGCGTGATTTTATAACTCGCGCGTGAATAATCGGTCAGTTTTACGTCCGATGATTTCACGACGTCGAGACTGACTTGTGCTTTGATGACGAGTCACGCGCACGCTTCGTTTAAATTCATATTCTTTTTTAGAAATATTAAACATTAATTTAAGATTCTGTTGTTTTTTTTTATTTTTAGTCAAAAGTAATAAATACGTACCGTGTGTATGTGTGTGTGTGTATATGTATGTAACTTTAAGAAGTTTATTCAAAGGAAGAGAGACACGTACGTGCGATATTTTGCGTTAATTGAAGTAACGCCGAAAATTTCGAGCACACTGCTGAAGTAACGCACCGCGTTACCTGTACTATTTGTAAAGAATTTACGGACTGTGTAACATAATAAATTAGAACACTCTTAATTACTAAAAGGGCGTTACTCCCGCAAGATGCAACCGGCTGGTTCCTCTCTGACATCGACGTCTAACGACGCGTCAGCGAAGAAGGTCAGGCTGCATCGCTTCGTCTTAGGAGGAGCGCAATTACAAAAGTTTCCCTTTTAACGTTAATTAATGAGAGAGTCCGCCGCGCACCGTACTTAATTATGGCGCTATCCATTACGGCGGGGCGGCCTCTTCTCTCCCAGAGTTGGGCATGCTTTCAATTCTCCCCCGGGAGAAAGACCGCGCCAAACTGATTTACGGAGAGCGATTGACTCTTTTTTTCTCTCTCTCTCTCTCTCTCTCTCCCGCATAAAGTTAACCCCGTTCGCCTTAAGTATCCGCGCAAATTCCTCTCGGTTTGACCGCGCGATTTTTTGTACGCGAGGCACGCGTGCCGATATCTCTCTCTCTCTCTCTCTCTCTCTCGAAATCAATTACTGATTAAGGTATCTTCGCCGCGTGATGTCGCCATCTAAGAATTCGATCGCGTCCTTCGACGCGAAAAAAAATGAACGTACGTAAGTGGATCAACCAGCGTGTTGTTGTTTCCAGACTGCGCAAAATGAATAATCATGCTTGATGCGTTGCGACTTCTCGCGTATACGGGAATATTTTTTAATAATTACGGAAAATAACTTTAAAAGCGATACTACATTAATTTTTTTAATGTAAATTGACGTTCGGAGCCGATAAAAAGTAAACATGTGACATATGTTAATTGTTACATGCGCAATTGAAAAATTAGTTCTCGGAGCTTTCGAGCGAATAATAAATTCGCGCACTCGCGACGTTGAGGTCGGCGAAAGTCGCAAAAGAACATTAATCTGGCGGGAAAATGGCGCGGCACTTACGCGCAAGCTTATTGCGAGTGACACGTACGGAATCATTCACGCTACGCTCACCGGTACATACGGATGACGCGCTCGCTCTGCGGTTACCGGTTCGCCTACGGATTTCGACACATTCGCCAAATACGGCGCATTCGAAGAAGTCGAACTCGAGAGAAGTCTGCGTCTGGTTTTCTGCCCACGCCGTGACCCGCCGTCGCTTTTTACGGAGAAAACAAGACGGGTACAAGACGGGTGTGGTACTTTCGCCCCTTAAGCGAAATGATCGCGGGGATGCACTCCGCATGTGATCGGAAACTTTTTGCCGATCGATCGTTACAGCTGTCACGTACAGAATTGCGCGTCTCCAATCTTGAAAATAAAATTTACGAGAGTTGCCGTTCGCGATCAATTTTTCCGTTCAAATTTCAGACGTACGGATTTTTACTTGGTCGCTTCTTCTGCGTTTTTCTGATCTTTTAATCTCTTTAACGTGCGACGATTGTAACAGGAACACGACAATCGGAGATTTTTTAATTATAAAAATATCTGTCAACTGAGATAGTTTTTAAAACGCAAGTTTTTCGAGCGCTCTGTTCGTGTAATAAATGATGCATTTCATTGCGCATGTAAATTGAAATCGTCGTAAGAAACAAGCATTCATTACAGCTGTAATAAACGTCTTCAGGTTTAAACGTACGTGAGAATATTTTTCAACGAGACACACCTTGCGACGACGTTGACGCCTGCGAAGCGGGCTCCGCAGCCGGGAGCGAGTATGCTAACGCATTGATACAGACACGTTCCTTCGTCCGATGTGTATTTTAAAGCAAGCAGGGAAAACCGCGAGAAAAAAACAAATTTTTCATATTTTCCCCTCCTTCTCCTTATCTTCGGCTTCTGTTTTTTCAAGATTCGAAGAATAAGTTTTTTAAAAAAAACGGAGTTTCCGGCTCTGGAATTGCTCTGAACAACCAATAAACGTGGCACGTCGCCGCGAATGGCAACACTTGCGTAACATTTGTTTCCTAGCCACGTAGAGTAAATCGGGCGAACAATTTTCTCGTTCAATCAAAATGTTAACGAACTCGTTCCGCAACGAGACGTGAAGACCGCTTCACGTGGGCGTTAACGCGCGCGTCCCGTTATAAAAAAAAAAATGCTCGCGCACTTCCTTCGCCGAATTGGCATTTTCGCAATGCGAGCGATGTTTGTTTATCGCGCAATTTATTCCGATGAGTCAACGCTGACCGAGTGCAGGAACGTAATCGGCTTTCTTTAAACAATCGCGACTATCACAGGTGGAAGAGAAAAAAAAAATCAAAAGACTCTTTTCTCCAGCGCGATAGCAAAAACATTTATAACACTTATTGACGTTTCATAATATTCGACGGCTGTTTCACGTGCCACAACATATATCCGATGTTACATTCGCGAACACATGACGCGTGGTGCGACGTGCCGCTTTTGCGGCCCGCCTCGCGCAGCGCTGACCCATTATTATTATTTGCAAATCATGCATTAATATTTTGATGCTCGCCATATGCGCCACGGACGGTCATTTACAAACATTTTAGCAATTTCAAACGCGAAAGCATGAATGCGGTAATTATCCTATAATGCGTGTGTTTGCTCTATTATCGTGTTTGTCGTTTAAATGTACATCGAACTGCGACGCAGCAACGAAATATCCCTCTTTATGCCATTTAATGCGAAAATTTGCTTCAATGAGCAAATCGCGATCGCGCAATTTTCAGAAAACAAAATATACTATATGATCTACTAATGATTGTGACATAAGTTTAATAAAAAGATTTCGTGACGAGAGAAGAGAAGACAAACATATTGTCCGATGTTTCTCGCAGAATTCGAGTTTTTTAAGCGCCAATGATATATATTACTCCCACATGATAATAGAGTTCTGTTATATATATATATATATATTTTTTTTTCTTATTTACGCGCTTGTCCCCTTATTGTCGTCTGAGAGGAAACGCCGTTTACAACCTTCGCAGTGGTTTCTGTAAGCCTACGTCATCGCTCGGTTTACACCGTGGCATCACGATGGACCGGTTCTGCGAAGGTGCCCCCACCGATTTCTCCATCATGTTCGCGACGCTCGTTGTCCGCGATTATTTCTCACTGCGCGAAACGTCGAGGAGACGAAGAAACTCGCTGCTTATACGCGTCGTGAATCACTGCACGAGCTCTCGTATAGAAATTAGTATCGAGAAGAACAACTTATCTGATTCGCGCCCACGGAGAAGAAGATACCGTATGCTTTTGTTTTTTTTTTTTTTTTTTTTACAGGGATTCTTCATCGGCGCCTGTTTTTGACGTATAAAACAAATGCAATCTGTACATTTCGTGCACTCATTGCGTGTACGATATTAAAATTGCAACATAATTTTGCATAGAGATTGCACGCGCGTGTTTAATGAAAAAATAGAATTTAATAAACGAACGTCACACGTAAAACGCACGAAATCTAATTTTTGTAAAATTTAATTTCGTGTAAAATTGTAAAATTTTATTTACGCGCGCAAAAAAAAATATCTATTTCGGATTATTTTTTCATATTACGCAAAAATTCAGTTCGGAATTCCACGCGAGAGATTAACAGGTGCACGCTGTGACGGAAAAGATAAAAAAGACTACATCCTGCGTTTACGTGTGTGTTACGTAATGTACAACTACGTGCGTGTATACATATATATACATATATATATATATGTACGCGCGTGTGTGTTCATGCGGCACGCCTCTACATATCTGCAAATTGACGTGGTGTTATAGCCGAACGTCAATATATTTTACGTTCTCTTTAACAATAAAACTTTAGTATTGTGTTATTTCGTCGAGTATTTAATTAAATTAACATCAAAATATTCAACTTCGATACCACAATATTTTGTAGTATTTATAAATGTGCGACGCACACATCCGAAGATTATTATTAATTAATTACTCGCAAATGTGTGTGTGTGTTATTTCTCTCCGTTAAGTCCGCGTCAGAGTATGCGATTGTCAACAATATTTTCGCTAGAAAAAAAAAAAATTATTTCTCGATGCTTTTTCACATCATCGGACGAGCGACTTATTGAAATTCGACATTGACACAAAGCGTACATGCGCGACATGTACACTATCGCTGTGCAAACAACATACGCGCGTGACGAAAGAAGAAGAAGTCGCGAAGATATGCGGCGCGAGGGACAGAAAAAAGACAGAAGATGACGACCAGTAATCTGGCGCGCATCGCGCGCGCTTATACGAAAACCGATACACCTGGCTGCGCGACACAGTGTGACGAATGTGTGCGCGTGTGTACACGCGCGTGTGACGTTCACGCCCGGTGAACCGTACACGTCAATTGTTGACGCGGACAATACGTCCCACAGTCTCAAATACATGTGAGACACACGAAGATGGGTGGCAGCAACGTCCCACGCGAAGCGAGCCACGTACCTAGCGAGACGAACGCGAACGAGCAAAGGTTCCACGCGGCGCGGAAAGTAGGGATACACCGGTGTTCTCCGGGCAATAAAAGGTCCATACTTGGTGTATGTCAGTGTCAGTGACGGGGGCGAGAGAGGAACGGCGCGGAGCGGAGTGTACCTCGCGCGCGTACGTCTAGACGCACTTACAACAAGCGACATCGAATCCGACACCGCATCGGCTCGCGAGCCATCGAATCGCGAGCTACGCACCACGTTGGTGACACACCTCGTTCACGCACGGATTTCGGAGTTTTCTTTTTTTTGTTTTTTTTATTATTCGGAGTGAGAATCTCACGTCGGAAAAGAAGGAGAGGAGAGAACCTTCCCACTTGATGCCGGCGCGCGAGCGAGAAGCAAGAAGCGCGCACGCATGTATATAACGCGGGCGGGAAAGTTCCGGGGATCATACAGAAGAAACGAGTTTGTAAACGAGGCCGGTCACAGCGGAGCTTCAGTTTGCTTCGAGAGACGTCGGTGAACGCGAGAGCTAGAGTAGTAGTAAACATACCGAGAAGTGGTTCACATACCGAGTGCCAATTGATAAACACGCCGATAATAAACGTTCGAATGCGATAAGCGAATCGTCTGTGTCTGGAATTTTGAGAGACGTGACATTTCAGCGTCAGTGATTGAGGAATCAAAGAGATATTCGGTTATAATTGTGCAAAAAATTGGTATTTCGCGACTTTCTTCATTGGTTCTCGTCGCAATTTGCTATCGTCGCACACGCGCGTGTGAAAAAATTAATTACAATCCTTGTACTCGGGTTGTGTAAACCGCGCGCAACCGGAAGCTCGTCGCAATGACTATTCACAAGAAGGGCACGAAGACGAGGAACAAGGAAAAGAACGAGGTGGCGACGACGTCGTCGTCGGACGTGTCGACCACAGAAACGGTCGAGGTCGTGTCTTCGACCAGCGTGGTCGAGGAGTCGAGTCAGGTCATGAAGAGCGAATCCAGAAGCAGCATGATGGAGGTGACGAGCGCGAGTCGCGAGGTCATCATGGATTCAAAAGGTAATGTGATCAAAGTTATCGAAACACCTCCGCAAACCTCAGTACAGCGAACCTCGGCCAGCCGTAAGACCGGGAAGAGTTCTCAGGACTTCATTGCCGCAGAGCAGACCCAATCGATCAAGCAAGCGAAGAAGACGCACGAAACTCCGCGCGAGACTGCGAAGTCTCTCTCGGAGAATCGTGTTCTTCAGGGAGGAACGATCGAACAGTCCGTGCAAAGTCAGAACGCGTCAACCAGCTCGACGGTTCAAGAGTCGGTGTCCTCGAGCACCGTCGTCGAGAGTTCATCGACGAGCCGAGAACAATCGTCCACCACCGTTGACGACGTCACAATCACCGGAGGAGATCGCCCGGTTCCTCATACGTCGTCAAGGTCGACCGAAAGCGTTCGCGTGAGCAGCGAGACGAGCGAGGCGATAACGAAGGACGGCCAAACGACATCGAACACGACGAGGATTCGCGAGACGGGCGACAGGATCGAGGATAATGGCAAAACGACGGCCACGTCGAGCCGGGAGGTCGACAACGAGCGCACGATCACGCCGTCCAGCGTGACTTCTATCAAAATTGCCGACGACATCAAAAGCGGAGAGAAAAGTGCGCGAGGCGAATCAAGATCGAAAGTTGAGTTGTCAACTCGCTGCAACAAGCCCGGCCAGTCCACGTGGGACGGCACGTTCGTCTACGAGAAACCCGTTAAATTTCCCGAAAATCGAAGCGACAAAACGGCGGGTTCGAAGAGCGACGTTTCGCGACAAGGTAGCGAAACGAGCGTTAAAGTCACTCAAAAGGCCTCCACTACCAGCAAAGAGACGATCGATCAAATCGTGTCTTCGAGCGTGACTCGAGACACCAAGATGACTGTCGACGATGGTTACGTGACCACTCGTATTCGCGACGCCACGTCTTCGGAGAAAGTCACGTCCTCTGAAGATGCGACGGACTTCGCCGACGAGAAATATCCGAGAGGATCGATTCGTCATTCAAAGCTCGGCGATTCCGCGTGGGACGGCAGTTTCGTCTTGGAGAAAAGCGAACCGAGACCCCGGCGTAACGATTCTGACGGCGTGTTCCGCCAACAAGACTCCGACAATGTCGTGGAGACGACTCAGAGAAAGGACTTTAAGGAGAAGAGCACGGATGGCACGTACGAGAGAGAATCGTCCGAGACGACGCGCGTCGTGAAAGGCGCCACTGACAGCACCAGATTTATTTCGGAAGAACGACACGACGTAAGCAGAGAAAGCACGATCCACGTCGACGGTACACCGATCAAAGAACATCCTGCCAGCCCGTCTCATAAAAGAGTTGCCAGACCCGGCGATTCCACGTGGAACGGCGAATTCGTGTACGAAAAGCCGCGGGACGATGCAAAGAAGCAACATCCTTCGGACGTCACAGTCGTCCGACGAACGGAAAAGCGCCACGACTCCGTGGACATCGAGGACGTCACCGAGGACGTCTCGAACGTCTCTGAGTCGATGTCAGCCTCGTACATCGTCGAGTACGCGATCTCGAGCGACAAGAAGAACGTCGAGAAGGTCACGTCCGTGTCCGAGGTGATCTTGGAAGAGGACGGTTCTGACGAGAGAATTAGGCGCGGTACTTCGGAAAGTCCCGAGAAACAGTCTCCTCCTCGACGAGACGCGAGTTCGCGTTGTTACAAACCGGGTCAGTCCACCTGGGACGGGACTTTCGTCTACGAACAACCTAAAACGACACCCGACAGTCGACGAAAACCGGAGGACAGACGTATGACAAGGGCTCTCGATATTCGGGACGTTACCGAGGATAAGTCGATGAACGAGGACGTCATCACGAGCACTTCCTACGTTGTTGAACACTCGTCAAGTCAGCAGAGCTTCTCGGACATCAAAGACGCGAGTCTGACGTCCACGATTTACGAGACGGTCGTTCACGAGGGTCGTCCGATCGAGACGACGATTAGATTCGATAAAGACACGTCGCGAGGCCGAGTCTCGACAACCGAACGTCAAACCAGTCCGTCGTCGCCACGTCCGGTTAGTCCCGAAAAAACGCCCAGAAATTTTCGAAGCACCAAACCCGGCTCGTCGACGTGGGACGGAACCTTCGTGGCTGAGAAACCGCAGGAGAAGAAACGACCGCCCAGCAGAGAGTCCGTCGATGGCAGACTGCCGGATAAATCTCGTCCGGTTGACGAAAGCGGAAAAATATCCGCGGACACGTCGAAGAAGCGGCACGAGATCGCCGATCTGCGAAATGTCACGCGAGACAGCAGCTCCGAGATCACGGAGAGTTCCGTGGTTGTCGAACAATCGATGACGCATGAAAGTTACAAGGATTCCGACAATCTCGATTATTCGACGACCTCCGTCGAAACCGTCGTTATTCGCGACGGCCAGCCGATAACGACGCAAAAAACGATAACCATTGACGAAGGCAGCCCCGTGAAGAGACCGTCTGATGTAATTACCGTTTCCAAGAGCGCCATTAAAAGTCCCGAGAGAAAGGAGCCTCGGGGAAGCGACAAGAGCTACCGATCTACGAAACCGGGCTCGTCTACGTGGGACGGAACGTTCGTGTACGAAAAACCGAGAGAGCAAAAACCAGTAGATAAAAAGACACCAAAAGATACGTCTATATACGACAAACCGAGTACACTCAAAGCAAAACCGAGTGACGTTACCGATCGCAAAACAGTTGTGATATCGGAAACGTCGAAGGACGTGACGAGCACAGCCGATTATTCCACGAGTTCGGTGACGGTCGAGCAAACGTTCGTCGTCGATTCGAAGACACACGACTCGTTAAATCTAACGAAAACCATCGAAGAGAGCAAAGAGGATAAGATACGCACGATCGACTACGAGCGACCGTCTCTTCAACAGCGTCCGGAAGATGCTGGACAGCCCAGAGACGAGAGACCGCAAAAAAGTCCGATTGACAGAAGTTATCGGCCAACGAAACCGGGCGCTTCCACCTGGGACGGATCGTTCGTGTACGAAAAACCGGTGGAGAAAAAACCGGGTGATAAAAAATCACCTTCGAAAGATACAACCGTGGACAAACCGAGTCCACTGAAAGAAAAGCCGAGTGACGTCACCGACCACAAAACAGTCGTAATATCAGAAACGTCGAAGGACGTGACGAGTACCGCCGATTATTCCACGAGTTCGGTGACGGTCGAGCAAACGTTCGTCACCGAGTCGAAGACACACGACTCGTTAAATCTAACGAAAGCCATCGAAGAGAGCAAAGAGGATAAGATAAGCTCGATCGAATACGAGCGGCCGAAACCGTCTCCTCGACAGCGTCCGGAAGACGCTGGACAGCCCAGAGACGAGAGACCGCAGAAAAGTCCGATTGACAGAAGTTATCGGCCAACGAAACCGGGCGCTTCCACCTGGGACGGATCGTTCGTGTACGAAAAACCGGTGGAGAAAAAACCGGGCGATAAAAAGACACCTTCGAAAGATACAACTGTGGACAAACCGAGTCCACTGAAAGAAAAACCGAGTGACGTCACCGATCGCAAAACAGTTGTGATATCAGAAACGTCGAAGGACGTGACGAACACTGCCGATTTTTCCACGAGTTCCGTGACGGTCGAGCAAACGTTCGTCACCGATACGAAAACATACGATTTGTCGAACATATCCGAAACTTTCATCGACGAGAGCACGGGAGATAAAGTGCGCGCGATCGAGAAGCCGAGACAGCCCTCAGACGAAAAGCCAAAACCGTCTCCTCGACAGGAGATCGACTCTAGGAAACCTAAAGACGAGAGACCGCAAAAAAGTCCGGTTGACAGAACGCACCGGCCATCGAAACCGGGCGCCTCCACTTGGGACGGATCCTTCGTTTACGAGAAACCGCAGGATTTGCGAAAAAAACCAACGGAACCAATTGAGAAATCGAAGGAGAAACCGACGACGGATAAAAAAACGACGCAGGACGACGTCACGAAGGTTCGTTACGTCGAGGATGTCGCGGATATCACGCACGAGGATATCACGCGTACATCTGAAGTGGTGCAACAATCCTCTTACGTAATCGATCAATCTTCGAGTTTCACTTCTGTGCGAGACGTACGCGATATTACGGACGAGCGTGTCATCACTGAATTTACTACGGACACTCACAAGGATGTGGTGAGTAATTGCGAGACATTATTAAAATATGTATATCTTCATTAACCGACCATGCAGCAGGAAGTTCGTTATTTAAAACCGCCACTCGCGTAATTCCGCGAAATGATGACTTAAATGAAAGGGAGAAAGAGAGAGGAAATTAAATAAAGTAAGTAAATTACTTGATTCTTAACACGAAATTGAGACAATCAAGCCTGACAAGGCTTGAGATGTAAAACTAAAATTGATACGCGCAAAAATTAGATCAAATGTAAATAAAACATTTCCAATAAGATAATTAAAAAAAAAATACTCGCGATATATCTATCTATAAACTAAATCTTTGATAAACGACAATAGCCATCAGATGTCATCAACGTCGGATTTGTGAAAAATCTTATCGAGACACTTGTCGAGAGTTCAGACCTTGCGGAAGAGGCTCGCATGCGATACTTTCACTTCCAAAGCGAACGGCGAAGGTCGTGGGGTTCACACGCGTGTGGCGCCGTTGAAAATAAATCTGACGTAATGCGTCGGTCTGCAGAAGGACAAAGAGAAAGAAAGAGAAAGAGAGGGAGAGAGAGAAAAGGGTTAAGTACAGAATAAAACAGCGGAGAAGTCGTTTTGTTGTTAACCTCGTCTGCGTCCGAGACGGGACGTGGTCTTCACGGTTCAAAATTTCTGAATCCCGACGCATCGGATCGATGCATGCGAGACCTCGAGCGGAATTGATGTTTCAAAGGACGTGAAGGACGACGACGATTCTGCTCGATATAACGTTACCTTAATTGTAATCGCTTACGGTCATCGATATTAAAATGCAGAAATCTATGTATATATAACTCGTTATTTTATAATTGCTAATTCCATCAGAAACATCGGCGCGATAACCTTTGCTTTTGAGCAAACGTTGGACTTTGGTATTCACTCAACATTAGTTGCGTTTAAGAAAGCCACGCATATGTTATATCGTATTTAATATCACCTCGCGATTCTCACATATAATATCAAAATAATTATCTCTTTCTTTTCGTAATTGATGTATTGGGTCATCAAATATAAAACTTGAATATATATATTATTGAACATATGTATATATATATATATACATATATATATACACATATATATATTTATATTTATATATTTATATTTATATTTATATTTATATAAATGTGTATTACATGTATATTTATTATATAAATATTATAATATTTAAATATTTAATATATTATATATATTTATAAGTATTTATTACACAAAGAGTAGAACTCCAGTAATTTCGAGCATCACAGTTTCGATTGTTCCTTTACAAGCGAGCCAATTCCTCTACTCGTGACGATTCCGATCTTAAGTGACTGCAAAGATCGTAAAATGCGTATCTATCCTCACACTAAGACTCTAAAGAGAAAGAAAAACACATCTCTTTCGTCTTTTGCTATCAGTCGCTAATTGGAAGGGAAAGAAAATAATTTCGAATTCTATAAAAAAATCGATGTCCATCACGCGCTCGAAATTATTGGAGTTTTGCTACATATACACCTGTCAAGTTTTTCATAATCAATGATCCAATACTTGATTTCGAACGATAATTGATGCGTGTGTACGAATGAGAGAGAAGCCAATTACGTGACTGTTCACGCTGTTCGTAAACGTCACCTCTCCGACATATCGTATCGCGCGAACGCGAGTGTAATCACTCGCAATCAGGCTCAATCAAGAGAAGGAGAGAGAGAGAGAGAGAGAGAGAGAGAGAGAGA